ACGAATGCACAAAAAAAATTTGAGGAAAATCTAATGAAAAGTTTTTAAGATTTTGGGTTTTGCGACGGTTGAAAAATCGGAAAAATGCATTTTGAGAAAAACACAAAATAACATTATACTTGAACTTTATTAATATATAATTGTAAAATATTAGATTAAACTGCCTGATTACCCAAATAATAACATTTTCATTGTCCAAAAAAATAGTAATTTTGTAAAAATTTACTTTTTTTAAAATTTTATGCAATATTTTAATTTTGAGTAAAAGATGGAAGAAATTTACAAAATTTGAGATACGTACACTTTACAGAATGACTTCAAAGCACATTAATGTTTTTTAATATCATTTGTGCTTGAAATGATTTTCAAACACTAAATCAAGCACTGAACTATGGTGAAACATTTAAAAAAAACATTTTTTAGTGTTTGAAAATCTGAGCGTTAAGATTTTTCCTTGTTTTGTTTGCTTCGATAATTCATAAAAATGCTTTTACATTGATTTATATGTGGTTTTTTCTCTTTTAAAATTCTTTTTGAGTGCATTGAAAAAATCCAAAAAATAATTATAAAAAGTTTTTGAGTAACTGTATTTTACTATGAAAATAAAAACGATGAAAACACATTCAAAAAAAGTTCTAAGCCACTTTGATAAAGTGAAATGCAAAAACAAATTGAAAAACATTTCTCATTATAACTATGATTATACCTAATGATATTCAATGTTATATGCGCGTATATTAATTTCAAGAAAAAAGAATGAAATAAAAAATTGAAATTCGTGCATTGGAAATATTCATGTAAATAAAAATATTTATGCTGCAGTAATAAAAATTTTGACAGAAAATGGTTTTGTCCAACGGTGTTGTGTATAAGCATGGAAAGAATATGCATTCATGCACTGGGTTATATTATGTAGAATTTGATAATCAGAACATCAGAAACATCCAAATGCTCATTTTTTTTTGTAAAACTTACAGACGTTTCAAGATTTGTTTGCAATTTTTGTGATGAAAACTGATTTCCTTGGAAGCGACGTTTTCTTTTTCTGGCGATAGATTTTCCCATAATTGGAAAGTAATAACAAGAAATTACGGCAATAAAACAAATATAACGATAATAAAGCTAAATAACACAAAAATAAAATAAAAATTAACAAGAAATTATCAAAAATAAAAGCAATTGAAAGGCAACTAATTCAAAACGCTATCGCAAGTTTAAAAATAAACAAGGATCTGATTATTGACTTTGTTGTCAGATCAAAGTTTCAAAATAGTCTCTAAATTTGTTGCCATTCCAAATACATAATAATAAAATTCATTTTAAATCAAGTCTATTCAATAATACGTCATTTACGATAATTTCAAACAGAAACTGAAACCAAAAGGGGTAAAACTTCGACTTCCGCTTGAGAGAAAACAACTTCCGGTTTCAATATTTCGTGACAGAGCTTTGCAAAAAATGCTATAACTTAAGTTCTACTGTACATGGAGACAAAATTCAAACGGATTTAGAAAGATAAACGTTTGTTTTATGTGAAATTATCAAAATCTAAAAATTGATATTTTGATTGATTTTCACGGAAAAAAGGTGATCAGATACCTTAGGGAAACCTAGTTCTTAAGAATATATTATAAGATGCTGAATAAAGCTTAAAAGAAGTCAACTTGTGCCTCGTCTGTGTAAATGACTTGTGTTTTCTTCAAATAAGAAAAGAAAATTGATTATTGAACTTATATATTCTCTCAAGTACCTCCTGATGTAATGAAAAGCCAGAAGATTCCTTGTAATTCCCTCCCATAAGAAGTAAATTGAAAAAAATGCAAGTGAGTCATCAAATCAACGAAAAAAGAAATTTGAAATACTTTAGCGTGTTGCTCATGTCGATATACAAGAATGGAAAAATTTGATATGAAACAGTAAATATGAGTCAAAAGATCATCGCATTTTAAGAATCGTCGAGTAAGTCATCTGGATAATTTCAACTGCTTAGATTCTTGTGATTTCAACACTTTATTGAAGACTCTAGAAACAGTAATTAAAAAAAGTATTTCTCGCTGATTTTTTTTTCGCATAACTTCACGTCATATTTTTCTGTGAATTGTTATTTCTTTTTAACATATTGTGGATACACGTATAATTTTACTATTCTAAATGGGTAAGTTATTTTTCGAAAAAATTATTCTGCTTCTAAAAGGATAAATTTTTCAGTTTTAAAAAGAAGTTTATTTGTTTCTTTGTATTTCATTGGATACATTATGTATTAAATATTTCTTGAAATTATAATCCGCATCAGGTTTCACATTCGAAATAGTTCATAAATTTTAAGAAGCGAATTGTCTAAAACATGATGAACTAAAATGGTACAAAGGATTGAGGTATATTAGTATTAATATTCTCATATTATTTGTGCGTTACTTAGTTCTTCATTATTATTAATTGTATAATTATTTACGAAATTTTTGAAGAAATTTACATATTAAAATAAGAAAGAATAAATAAATCATTAGTGATATCGGTGATAATCATAATGGTATTAACACTAGAAAAACTGAAATACCTATATTGCTCAAAAGCAGTTAAAATGACTGCATTGTGAAGGAATAACTAATGCATAAAGAAATTTGTTTAAAATTAATTTTTAATATTATTGATATTACATATTTTTAGTTATAAAACAAGTTATTAGTGAATATTAACAATAAAAAAAATATACTTTGTACAAAAAGTCGCAAAAATCTAAGAAATTGTGTCATCATTGTTTTTCTAATTGAAATTAAAAAGCAGTCACAATAACTTCTTTAGGCAATCTAGTGTTAAAAATAATTGTGGAATTCATAGGAAGCCGGATTCTGCTAATTCTAAAAGTACACAAACTTCTAATAATTTTAATAATACTGAAATTTATGTCTATGTAGAAAAAGGTAATTTAAATGCAACACAAAATGTAAGTGAAGCTGAATTTAGTGTAGATTTTTTTTTAGATTTTGAAGCAGTTGTTCCACTTTTTAAAGGTAAAAACATGCAAACGTTAATTTGTAGTTTGAATTGTTTGAAGATCAGGCTAAATTGTTTAATTTATCTCCTTTACGTAAATTTGTATACACTAAAAGTTGTTTATGCGAAAATGCGTTGATACTTCTTCGTAGCTAGCGTAATCTTTATTCACTTGCTCAATTGAAAGAATTATTAATCGATGAATTTCTTGTTAACTATAACTCAGCTGAAAGTTATGAAATTTTAAGAAATCGGAAAAAGCGTATGCATGAATCTGTGCCAGAATATATTTTGAAATTAAAAGAAATAGCAAATCAGAGTAAAATTGATGAACAAGCTTTAATGAAATTTTGCATTAATGGCATAACCGATACAGTAGGTAATAAAACTATATTTTATGGGTCAACTAATTTAAATGGTTTAAAAAATAAACTAAAGAAATATGACCAAATTTGCACTGATAGAGAAAAAAATAAAATACCTATTAATGGCGTACCTTACGACTAGAAAAGCAAAAGGAGGTTAAACTTGATTTAAGTAATTATATAAATAATAAAAATCAGACGACACTTACGGTGCAAATTTGCCGTCCAGACCTTGTGAATTTTGCGAAAAAAATCGACTTACGAAAGAGGTATCACTGGGGAAAGTCCTGTACCAATAATCCAGCTATAACTATAAAGCTGGAAAGAATCACAAGTATCGATTACTTGAGCCGCGATGACTCAGGGGAAAGAGCGTTCGCTTTCCAATGAGGCGAACCGGGTTCGAATCCCAGTCGATACGAATTCCGCATCCGGCTTGCACCGACCACAGTGCTGAAGTGAAATATCCTCCGTAGTAGACGGTTCATGAGTTGGAGTCCCCTTGCCATCAGGTTAACCGTGGGAGGTTCTCGTGGTCTTCCTCTCCATGTAACGCAAATGCGGGTTAGCTCCATCTAAAAAGTCCTCCACGAAGGCAAATTTCTCCCAATACTCGACCCAGGAGTTCCCTTGTCTTCTGGATTGGGTTCAAAATTACAAGACTACGGAGTTGAACATTGGTAGTCGTCACTCAAAAAATTGGGTCGGCTGTTCAACGATGGTTATAAAATAATATAAAGAGTATCAATTACTTGTGTCAGGATACATAGAAAGTCCACAATCCGTACAACATAAGGGTAAAATAAAAAAGAGAGATGAAAAATTTATGCTAAACTTAGATACAGGATCAACAATAAATTAGATACCAGAGCATATCGTATCGAAATTGAATGTTCCCGTTAAAAGCTGTAAAGGGATAAAAGTGATCCAAACTGAAGGAAAATAAACACTTGCAAAAAAGTGTACCTTTAAATTAAAAATTGGTGATTTGGTTAGATCACCTGAGTTTCTATAACTAAGCAACGATTTAAACTATGCCATACTGGGGGTACAATCTTTATGTGATTTTCACATCGTTATAAGTTGTGTAGAGCAAATTGTTTCCCAGGGAAACAGAAAACTGATCCAGTAGAATTGAATGGATTTTCTTTCTTCTTTTTTGAGTAGTTACTACTCAGAAAGATATTTTTTTGTTGGACACTATGGCGTAGGAGACCACGAATTACAATATTTTATATTTTACAATTAAAAAGTCAATGACTGGTTATTTTAAGTCACATGCATTTACTTAATCAGAACGAATTTTGAATAAGGGACTGACAGGTGTTGCGAATGGAAAAAAAAAACAATTTACATGAACTTGTACAAAACTTGCACATAAAAATAACAAACTGCAGTTACATATAAAAAGCAAACTAAGCCCATAATCTCGAGATCAGCTTCACAAATAATGATTGATGTACTGGAATATTATCACAATTTCTAAAGACTAATTTATACATTATTTTTATGATATGATCATAAGAAATAAGTATATCTTTCTCGCACGCATCAAATCTTTTGCATCTGGAAGAATTCCATTAGACCTCCTAGAGTTACAAAAGTTATGACCATTCTACATCAAGCATTTTTCTTTTACAGATTCCCATTCAACGTTGCCATGACAACCACATCCCATCTGTTAGATAGTGGATGGCTATCTCTGGTCATAGCTGGACACGACTCAGCCAAAGTTTCGGCCACTGCGGCCACTACAGATTCTAGGTTGCACAGAGGTCCAAATACCATCTCTGCCAAACTAAAAGTAACTTGTGAAAAGATGGACTTAGAAAAAGCCCACAATGGCAGTCTTTCATCGCAAGACGAATCTTGCATAGGAGGTTGTTCCAGAAAAAATAGACCAAAGAATCCAAAGTAAGTTCTTAAAAAAGATATAAATGAGATGTTTGTTAATCTTAGTTTTTCAAAAACGGGGAATGTATAATTGTTTTCTGGATTATATTAATTATTTTCAAAACGTTTCGTAATGAAATCAGCGAAAAGAAACAGCTCTAGCAAGAAAATAATGTTCAAGAATTTCACGCACGTTCAAGATTTCCACAACTATACACAACTTAATTAAATTTAACAAAAATAATCTACAAAAAAGTGGATATATTTTTTCATTGGCATTAAGTATAAATACTTAAACATATTTAATTCAATGAAATTTATAAATCGAAAGAGTTGCCCCAAAATTTTTAAAAATTGAGAGGACACAAGCATACCTTTATTGCATGAAGTAAATTACAATGTGATTAATAAATTCTCGTAAAAATAAACCTCTTTTATAATTAAAAACAAACACGTGCATTTAGTATCAGTAATGGTAGTATAGAGAAAATGCACTAGATTTAGGTTTCTACCAGCTTTAATTTTTTTTCTAAATTCAATCTTTGCTTTATTTAGTGCTAGTGTAGGCATCACATAGTTCTGATCTTCATTTATCTAGATTTTCCTTCTATTTCATATCCTATATCTTCCGATTCATCAAGTTTGAATTATTATGGAATTTCTAGTTAAGTTGCTTCCTATAATAGTGATGGGAAATTCATTTTCGATTAAAATTATTATTTAAAAGAAACGGACAGATTGTTATTAAATGACTTTTGGTTTGTGAGTTTGTGAAAAAATTTTGTGATTAAGGCATTAGGTTTCAACAAGTTTATTAGCATTTTGTTAGAGGCAAAAAGTTTCAACAAGTTTACTGGCCTTTTGTTAGAGACATTACGTTTTAACCAAACGTTTGTTTTACGCAATAGCATGAAATTTTTTCTTAATCTTACGGTTCATCTATAGTTTTAATTTTTTTCCCAAGAGAATGTAAGCATTTTCTCAACTACATTTCATAAGTTGTTTTTCACCAGAACTCTTCAAAAGAAAAGTAAATTTGATATCAAAGAACATAATATTTTTCGAAAATAGTTTTCATTGATCTTAGCCGAACAGAAAGTTGAGAATTTAATTAGATTTGTATAATAATTACCTTTATATTGAGAAAATCAGTTTGGTTCAAGAGTTACGGGGACATTTTAAAATCGCATTTAAGGAATTTTTTTTGGCCATTTAAAAATAACGCAAAATGTTACACATTTTTGCAATCCTTTATTATGTATATTTTGAATATTTAAAATTTTTTTTTGTAAAAATAGTAGATTTCTCAATGCGGAAACTTTGTGAACAATCGCATTCCGAAACAATGCGCTAAGCTTGTCGCTTACATCGTACGGTCAGCATTTTTGAAAAACTATTAAAAAATCGAAAGGTTACATTAAGAGTAATGCTGATTAAGTTTAGTAAAGTTTCTAGAATGTTTATTTATTTGTCAACAACGAGGAATTATAACAACTCAATTTGAATTTTATTAAATTAAATTTTGTTTTACGAAATGGAATGCTTTTCTTCGAACTCTACAGTAATTCAACTTGAACAGAAATACTGCTCAGTTAGACACCTAATTAAGGTTGCAGATAATTTAGGCCGAACTAAGATTCAAAGTACTCAGATTATGGTTCTACTTCAGACCGATTTTTCATCAGTCGGCTTTTTCGACTATTTAATGCATTTTTACTTGAATGTTTCTTTTCATAAATTTCACATTGTATTGAAATTTTACGAAGTTTTTAAATTTTCAAATGGAACAAAAGATTTTAAACAAGTTTTTTTTTGTAGTTCTTCAATTGATTTTCCGATATTTAATTCCTATTATACCTAACACCACTGTGAAAAAATTTAACTTAGGCATTATCACACTAATACAGCGGTTCCCAAATGGTGCCCTGCGGAACCCTAGGGTTCCGTGGTTAAATGGATTCCAAGAGTTAGGACACTTTTTATAAGTTTTTTTAAAACATTTTTGAAAACTGTCGTTATATTTAGATCCAATAAAAAATCTTGTTTACTTAATATTTTGGCTGCTTTTGCAATATTATTAAAAGTAAAATTCCAATAAAAAAGAAATAGCAAATTTTATTTTGGAAAAAATAAGTTATTCTTCAGAAAATAATATATTGAGTAAACTATGAAAAGGATATGCGTTTATAAAATATTACATTATTTATACTTTAGTATTTCCCATCGCACGTTTCAAATCAAAATTAAATGGCCAGATTGTTAATAAAGAAATATGTTTCCTTACCAGTAATTTTCAACGTTTATACTAGTTCTTTTTTGAAGTAGTCAATTAAATCCATTTCATTCATTCATTTTCAGCTTATTTTTACACACCAAAAGCAAATTCATATCCAGACTAGATTCAGCTCTAGGACTGTGAATTCAACTGTCGGATATAAAACCTAATTTCAGTTTATTAATGATAAAACGATGAGAAAATGCCATTTTTCTTCTTTAAAATTTTCAAGATAAAGCAGTCTTTTATAAGTTAATAAGTAAACAATTGTCTTTATATACTTTACTTACAAAAGGTGAGGCTCCGTCGAAAGAATGATCATTTAGAGTTCCAAAGCCGTAAAAAATTGGGAATCGTTGTGCTAACAGAAAGTTTTTCGCAACTTTTTCTCTCTTTTTTTCCCCTTTTTTTTAAATTCAGACTATGTTAGGTTTTTTTTTTAAAAAAAAGATGTACGAATATGCACAAATATCTGCTCACATAAATTTTTACAGTGTCTCAACTATTTAATATTTATATATATATTAGGGGGACAGGAAAGTAATGTCGTTTCGGTACATTTGATATCGGTTATCAAGATTTAATTTTTAATCAATAATGTATTCACCCTCGTTAGCAACAACCTTTCAATTCCGGAACGAAACTGGATGGAAAAAATGAATTGGTTTTTAAGACTAACTAATAATTAATGCGCCGAAACGACATTACTTTCTGGTTCCCCTAATACATATATACAAGGGGATCGGAAAAAAACGCAGGTACCAGGCGTCAACTTAACACTTTTTTTTTTATCATTTTACTCTTCAAGATGAGCAGCAAAGCCGGAAATCCATAGAAAAATTAGGATCTTAGGGGTTATTTAGATTCGCTTAGGAGTTATTTAGGGAAAATGATGCAAGAAACTCTCCCAATTACATTAAAACGTATGATGAAGGAAAAATTAAAGCATTTGGAATGGTTCTTAAAGTCGAAGTTAATTTGCCGGAAGGGAAAAACTTTTATGATAATCAATTTTAAAAATCGTTAAATATTTAATCTACCTAATTATATTAAATAATACTGCGCACTTTCAGATTAACATTTTAAAACAATTTAATTTTAGCATAAAACACTGGAAACATTTATTTAATTCATTTTTTGATTTATTTAATTCATTTAATTCAGTTGGGCTTGTTTAAAAAAAGGTCTTTTATTTCAATAAATTGGCTAATATGTAAAACTAATCATGTATTTGTGACAAAATAATATCCTAGTTTAAAATATATTTTTAAAAGATACATATCTTCAGTAAGAATTATCTCTTTCATCAAACTATTTTTTACTTAAATTTAATGTAGCATCCTTTCTCTGATATTTAAACGCGTCAATATTGAAAATTTATTTATAGTGTTTATTTCTAAATATATTTTCTCAATACAAATTTAATTTTAAAATTTATTTGAGGCGACAATTAACATTTATCTTTGAAGTTAAATATTATTTTACACAAAACTATTTTGTTTTAATATTATTTAATATAACGCCCATTCTTCAATAGTTAAAAGCATGGTTATTTTTTTAGTTAGAAATTAACTTCAATAAAATAATTATTAATTTAAATTTCCCTAAAACTAATCTTTTTATTTTTATTTAATAAATCACTCTTTCTTCGATCGTTAAACGGGTCACTATTCAACCTCTAGTTTTGGAGTGAATTTTATTTAGTTATGGAAGTTAATTTTTAATGCTCCCTTTAATAAAAACGGTTTTCTTTAATTTTAATTAACATAGTATTCTTTTCTGCTATTTAAAAGCGTTACTTTTATGCATCTATTTTTGGCGTTAACTATTATTTTAAAAACTTATTTTTAGAATTCCCTTTTAAACATTTTAATCAGCTGTCAAGCATAGAGCTTTCTCACTCTTATTTTAACTGTTGTGAAATGCCTGAACTCCTGACACGTTCTCAAAACACGTCCAGCGTATCTTGATACTGATTTCTCCAAATATATTTTACTTAAATGTTTCTACCATTATCAAAGAATAATTCGATTCTCATAAGTAGGTCACTACTAACTAATATCTGGTGAACCTACTTCCCTTCTGATTAGAGATCAATTTAGAAATTTATAAAAAAACATTCTCTTAGCTGCTCTATTTCGCATGCTAAATAACAATTCCTTTTATTATTACTTTGGAATGCAATAATAATTGCATTTTAAAAATGAACTTCTGCGAAACAAAGTTTGGACATAAAATAATATTTATTAATTGAGAAAATTTGACCCAATATTTAAAGAATACATTTCCAAATAGAAGTTTTTTCGTTGTTATCTTATTTTTAATTTAAATTTCTTCACAGAAATGATTAATTATGTTTGTAACTCGCATAATAATGTTTGCAACATGCATAAAGATGACAATTTAAAGAAAAAAAAATTATAAAGTAATCTGAAATACTTTTAGAGTAATTACTCCAGAAATGTAGTAAAGTTGACTTTTAATGTGTACTAAAAAACGTAAAGTTAAATTTAGTAAACATAAAACCAATTTAAATAATTTTGTTTAATGCAGTTAGTTTTTGAAGGGTTTGGTAGAGGAAAATTCTAAATAAGCTTTTTGTTAGTAGATTAGCTCTTAAGTTGCTCTTAATTCTAATTTGTTAACATTTACTTAAATATCAGAGATTCAATGAAGTAACAAAAAAGAGAGTAAGTTGCTTTTTTCCGTCATAATTTGGTGTCATAATTTGGTCATAACTGGTGTT